TTTGTAATCGTGCTGTATAATGCAGCACAATATCACCGCTTGGAGAAGATGGATATCCAAGGCGGGAGCGGAGGAAAGGGGAGGGGCGAGAACAGCGAGTGGAGGGGGTGAGGCAAGGACAAGGGAATAATGATGAAGTACCTCAAAGTTTAATGCAAAAACGCATGATCGCACCGGCTCGCCTGGTGCGTTACAGCCTGGATTTTTACAATTGACAGAGAATCGGGAGAATGCGCAGGCAGACCTACCAAATTTGAACTGCCAGTTTTCCCGGCGCAACATTGGCTGCCCAGGCAATCTTGATGCGAACCAACATACTATAAATCCTGAATTCGATAAGACAATATTTTCGTTCAGGGTTAAGCGAGCAGGAACTTTTGGCCTATACATCGAACTTGCAACAGACAAATACGGCCGGAGAAAAGCAAAAATATGCTTTGGAAATAGCAAATCGTATTTTTCTGCAGCGACAGTTTCCCGTCAAGCGAACTTTCGTGAGGTTAATCCAGTCAAACCATCGCGGCCAACTGCAGGGAATCGATTTCCGACAAAAAGCCGCTGCCATCCGAGTAATTTTTCACTTATGTAGTTAACTGTCAAAAACTGTAAGTATAGCTTGAGGAGTCCAATTCAGGGGATTCAGTTCAAGAAGATTTCAAAAACAAAATGGCGCGGGTTAGAACATAGCTGCTACCATGCTTACACCTAAATTCTTTTTTCTGGAAGTGCAATTCAAATTTTCGGTGTTGTTAAAATATTTATAATACTTTTGCTGTCGACAGATTCGGTGTAGAAAGCAGTACTGTTCTTCTATGAAACGCCGAGGGCTTGACTTTAGGGATAATTCGTTAACGATCCGTTCATTCATTTCATTGTTATACTGGTGTTGTCACATTCTAGAAAGTCGATACCGGCATTAACTTACTTTCAAACAACCGTCGAAAAACAACAGTCGATAGTCTTACCAATCGGTGATTGCCGTGGCTTTACCTCTGCTAACCTGAATGTGATTTTACTTCTGCTAACCTGAATACTCCCAGCATGGAGCGATTTTGGCTTCTAGTATTTTGAACACTCCCCATCCAGCTGCGTCTAATTCAACAAACCTTGTGTACTATTTTACTTGTTGCCAGAGAATTTGAAGCATAAGATCGAGGTGCTCTGAAAGTATTAAAGTCTTGTTGTTATTATACCATAAGGAACTCTTTCACAGGACAAGAAGGCACAGTTGGTTCTAAAATTTCATTAGAACAGGACTTCTGTGGTTGTATTTGGATTTATTCTTCGTTGCAATATATACCAAGAATTCCATCATACGATTTACCGAAATCCCAAGAAATCTAAATCTATGTATAGTGAATGGTGAAAGTTGCTAACTTATATTGATACCCAAAAAATGCCCTATTGTTTCACTGGGCGTGGCTGTTACTCGGTCAAAGCTGTAAATTTTGCAGACTGTAAATGGATGGGTGAGCAATCAGACGCATGGCAAGATCAAGGATTTGATAAGTGCCAGCAATATCAACTCGAATACAGTGCTGATGTTGTTGAATGCTATTTACTTCAAAGGCACCTGGAAGAAGCAGTTCAACAGTTCGGATACTAAGGAAAAGCCGTTTTACGTCACCGCTAATCAAAGCATACAGGTTTTTTTTTTGGCAAAATTCACACAAATTTCAGATTATGTTTATTTTCCAGCCTTTCGTCGTGCATTTTTAGTCAACTGAGAGATTGTAAATGCTGGATTTCTTATTGTGATAAAGAAGAATATGCTCAAAAACTGTAGTACTGCAGCATATTCACGAAACTTACAGTATATATGAAGCACCCTCTCGGTTCATATTTATACAGATTGCAAACACTATACAGGACAGATGGAGCTACAACCCTGCATTTTTTCTGATATAGGTCTGACAATACATTATGCTAAATTTTTTAGCAAAGCAGCTGCAACGCAATTTATAAAAATTTTGATGAGCATAATAAAATAAGTTCTTACGGTCTTTTAAAACATTTAAAGAAACGAAATGAGCTGACTCAGTATTCGTAGGATCGGTCTGATTTTCAAAGCGGCCAAAATCAACGTTAAGACAAAAACTGATCGCCCAGCTTGTTTAGACCCTTCTATCAATTTCTAAAACAGATTTGTCAAAATAACAAAATTTAAGGTGAAAATGATGTCAACGAAGAATAGTGTCCTGTCTTACTCTGACGACAAACTGCGAATGGTTGGCTTACCGTATGAAGGCGGGAATGTGCATATGTTTCTAGTACTTCCACGAAAACGATTCAGTTTGGCTGCCGTTGAGAAAAGCTTAACAGGAAAGAAACTGTTGGAAAATTTCGCGCACTCCAAGGAACTCGAATTAAGGGTATTCGCTAAACAGTCTTTCTCATAAAATCATATAACACCGCACTTCGAGGCATAAAATGAAGCTCTAACGAGCGCCGCTGGGAAACAGGCATGACTAGGGTTCGCTGTGCCTTTATGAACGAGATCAAAGTTCTTTTGTTTGTGCGGTGGGGAAGACCCAGTAAGATTTTTGAAGAATGATGAAGTGATTTAAAGTAGAAAAAAGATTCTCAGGTCAGAATTTCACCCAAGAAATTGCAAAATCATTTTCCGATTTTATAGCCCTCAAGGAACGCATTTTTACCCCAAGCAACCGTTAGAAGAAGGAGAGAAAAAAGCCATTTTGTTTCCTTTATACATTCACTTTCTGTGTGTGCCAGTACACGTGCGTGATACGAGAATAGCTCAACTTTTGAAAAAAAAAAAAAACAAGTGAATAGTACTAATTCAGCGCGAAGTATGCTGTAAGCCTTTCATGCTCCCACTTTCTGTATTGCTTAGAACTGAAAAATACTTTATATGCTCGATATCCCATGAGCAAACCCACCTAGAAAGTTGAATTTTTAAGGATCTTTTTAAATGTCATGTATTTTTCGACTGAACTGCTTAGATCTACAGCTGATAAAACCTCCACTACAAACAGAAGATAGCTTAAACTTTGTTACACTGGCCGTTTGATTCGTTTAGCGCTGCACAAAAAGCAACGGGAATTTGTGATCTGGGTTCGTTCTCCTTCGAACTTGTGACGGCATGGCGTATATGAGGATTTGAAGAGAGTAAAGTTAAACAGCTGATTTCGTGTCATCCACTTTGCTTATTCTGGTTAACCTAAATCACTCATTTTTGAGTGTTCAAAACTGATTGGTTTTGAAACTGAAAAATTTTCCCGAAAATCAAAAACGAGTTATAGTA